CATATTCTGTTGTATTTCTAAACTAAAATTTGTCTTTGTCATCCACAAAGTTTTCAAATTGCCTTTGTCTCCGTTGCCGTTGCGTGTATGTGCGTTGCCGTAAGGAAGTAAGAGGCCGTTAAATCAGACAAGCCGTTAGTTGGAATTCTACTGCTTGTAGAAGACTGGAAGTTTGCCGTATTGAAATACAGTTTATTAAGCCACATCGCAAACCGTTATTCGTAAATCAGCACGTACAGTTTTTCTTTCTCGAAGATTCTGCGACTTGTACAGGATTTTTAAGCGGCCTTTTGTGCTAACGTAACTTTGCGAATATTCTGCGACAAATCAAAAATGTTTACACGAAGCCAGGCAAACGGAACCCCAGTTGCAGCGGATGCTGATGCTAGCAACTCCGATTCGGACGTAGATGCGACCGTTGTTAATATTGGAGCCAAGGGTGTCGCGACACAAACGCAAATAAACGCCGGAAGCGATGCGATAGCCACCTTAGTGGCAAGCATTGCATCACTCAAGGCTAGCGTGCAGGAGCTACGCAACGAAACTAGCCGTAGTCAAGTAGAGGTCCAACAGCTGCGGCAACGAATGGAAATGGATTCAGCCAATGTCATAGCACCAACTTCCGAGGTACAGCCGCCACGTCCACAGCTTCCTCAAGCGGTACAACAATTGCCTGTAGTACAGCCGCCAGTGTTGCTCCCAACGAATGCATCGCAGTTTATAGAGGGTTCAGCCGCCAAGCTATATCCTCTGCCAACCTTCGATGGTAGTCCGGAAGATTGGCCATTATTTTTTGCAAATTATGTGGACACTACGGCGGAGTTCGGATATATCAATAGGCAAAACCTCATGCGATTGCAGAAAGCGCTGCAAGGCAATGCCAAACGGGCGGTTGTGTCTATGCTAATATACCCTGACGACGTGCCTAAAGTTATGAAGGAGCTGGAGTTCAATTTTGGCCGCCACGATTTATTAATCCGTGCGCAACTACAAAAGGTCCAACAGTTTCCCGCAATCCATGACAATCGGCTAGACCAGGTTCTGGAATTTTCTAACCGGGTTCGTAACATCTCAGCCTTCTTCAAATCAGCAAGATGTGAGCACCACCTCATGAACCCAACACTTCTCGAACAACTAATCTCGAAGCTGCCGCCGTCGAAGCAATTCGAATGGAGCAAACACGCCGCCAGTATCTTGCCGTTTCCTACTGTGGGGAACTTTGCTGATTGGCTGAGTGACTTGGCCAAAGTTGTGTCCATAATGCCTGGCGTCGCTGACATATCGCTGCGTTTTAGCCAACCACCGTTGCCATTGTCGCGACAAAGTACAAACGCCAATCGTCAGTCTGGGTCGAGCGGAGGTCCAGTTCGTCGAGTTCTTCACAGTAGTGAGGAGCAGCGCGTATGCCTGTGTTGCAAACAGTCTCACGTTATAACCAGTTGCCGAAAATTTGCGTCGCTGGACTGCGCAGCTAAATGGTCGCTTGTGAAACAACACCGCCTATGCTTCGGTTGCTTACAGATGGGGCATGGTCTGTCCAATTGTCGCCGCCGTAAAGCATGCGCTATAAATGGTTGCACGCGCATGCATCATCAGCTGTTGCACCAAGATTGCCGTACGTTGTCAGAGCCAACTTCCGATCGGGAACGCGTCCTAAACTGTAGGCAAGAAGACGAAGCCAGCTTGTTTAAAATATTGCCTGTTATGTTGTCCGGCCCGCATGGCAGTATAAAGGTATATGCCATGTTTGACGAGGGGTCTTCCGTGTCGTTACTGGAAGAGAGCGTCGCTACACAGTTGGGGTTAAGAGGTCGTGAGAGTTCCTTAACTTTGCAGTGGTATGGCGATAGCCAAACAACCGAAAGTTCAAGAAATGTGTCTTGCGATATCAGAGGGGTGAGTGGTCGTCAAGATTATCAGCTAAAAAATTTGCATACAATCAAAGGACTGAATTTACCGAAGCAGTCATTCAACAAGTTCATGCACACTCACACTAAAGAGTTACCAATGCAGAACTACGTCGACGTCAAGCCTGTTTTACTACTCGGTTTAGACAACTGCCATTTAGGCGTACCCACAAGGACAGTCGCCGCCAGATTTAACCAACCAGTCGCCATTTATACAAAGTTGGGCTGGGTCGTCTATGGACCTCATTGTGAAACTGCCACAGTCATGCCGAGGGTGCTTCACGTTCGTAAGTCCGTCGCTTTGGGTCAGCTCAACAAACTAGTTGAAGAATATTTTTCGGTCGAGAATTTCGGCGTCAACTGTAAAATCGCATTAGAGTCAGACGAGAATCAGCGTGCCAGAAAGGTTCTAGCCGAAACAACAAGAGACCTTGGTCAGAGGTATGAAGTCGGATTGCTGTGGCGGGAAGATTCAGTCAATCTCCCACACAGTTATGCAATGGCAAAGCAACGTTTATTAAACATCGAGTCACGCATGTTGAGGGATGCAGATTACGCCGAAACCTATAAAAGGGAAATTTCGAAATACCTCGACAAAGGTTACGCACGAGAATTAACGCCAGACGAAGCCGCACACGAAGGGCCGAAGACATGGTACCTTCCGCACTTTGGCGTCGTTAATCCGCATAAGCCGCAAAAACTCCGTATCGTTTTTGACGCAGCTGCCGCCACAAATGCCTTATCATTAAATTCAGTCTTGCTGAAGGGTCCGGAGCAAGCGCAGTCACTCGTAGCTATAATTCACAGATTCCGTCAGGGAATTGTAGCAGTCGCCGGAGATATTCAAGAAATGTTCTCACAAGTGCGAATACGAGACGTCGATCAGGATGCGCAACGATTTCTGTGGCGAGATGGCAAGCTGAAAGAACCGATCCGTACCTACAAGATGACAACAATGATTTTTGGAGCTATTTGTTCGCCGTGCTGTGCGGAGCACGTTAAAAATACCAACGCTGCCAAGTTCCAGTCTACTATGCCCAGGGGTGCTCGTGCAGTCATCGAGAGCACGTATGTCGACGATCTAGTCGTAAGCTTCAATAGCGCCGACGAAGCAGTTGCGGTCACCAACGAAGCCATTAAAATCAACGCCGCTGCGGGTTTCAAGCTACGCAATTTTGTATCAAACAACAAGTTTGTCGAACGAACATTAAATGGTCAAGGATTCACTGCCGACAACGATATTATTAGAATGGAACGTCAAGCAACGATGGAGAAGGTTCTGGGCATGTATTGGAACACTGTCAAAGACGGGTTAGAATTTCATTTCAAATTTCACAGAATCGGCCGCGATGTTCTCGATGGTACGCGATCTCCAACCAAGCGAGAGTTGCTGGGCATAGCCATGTCCATGTACAATCCGTTTGGTCTCCTGGCAAACGTAACAGTAGGTTTGAAGTTGTTGTTGCAATCATTGTGGAAGCTACGAGTACAGTGGGACGAAAAGATACCGTATCAGTTGGAAGAGCAGTGGTCCAAGTGGTGGAGAAGCATACAGTCCGCAAAGCGTCTTTCGGTGCCACGGTGCTATTCCGCGATGTTACCAGTCGCGGACGACATACAGCTGCACATTTTCGTGGATGCCAGTTCCTGCGCATATGCAGCCGTGGCGTATCTGCGCGTAAGACGGGCTAATAAAATCGACGTTACTTTGGTATGCGCTAAGTCGAGGTGTGCGCCTCTGAAAGGCATGACGATTCCGCGTTTGGAGTTACAGGCTGCAGTCTTGGGTTGCCGCCTTAAAGAGTCGCTTGAACGCTGTCATGATTTCCGAGTAGACAACACTACGTTTTGGAGTGATTCCAAGACTGTCATACTCTGGATCCGTTCAACCAACCGAAATTTCAAGCAGTTTGTCGCCTATCGCGTAACCGAAATATTAGGCGTAACATCTGAAGACCAATGGCGGTGGATTCCGACAACGCTGAACGTCGCTGACGAGGCGACACGAGCCTGTTCATCCTTTGAGTGCGAAACACAATCAAGGTGGTTCACGGGACCAGGGTTTCTCTACCAAGACACATCGCACTGGCCACAGGAGATATCAGAGCTGACATCCGACCATTGCGCTTCGGAAGAATGCGTGGGACGAGTCTTATTGCTGTCAAATTCTGGCGAGTATGCTATAAAATTTACTAATTACTCATCTTTTTTAAAAATCACTAGAGTTGTGGCCTGGATTTTCCGATTTTTCTACAATGCTATGCCTGGTACTCGTCAAAGTGGAGAGCTGAATGCCATAGAGCTTGCCAACGCCGAGAAAACCGTACTTCGAAAGGTTCAGAACGACTCTTTTGCCGAAGAGATCAACGCCATTAAGCGGAAAACGCCTCTTGCGAAATCGAGTGCGATATACCAGCTGACACCGTTCTTAGATAGCGATGGTCTGCTAAAGGTCAACGGCAGAATCGATTCCGCGTACTGCCTGCCTATTACAGCTCGACGCCCGGTTATTTTACCTCAAAACCATCATGTTACACGACTTATTATGAACTTATTATGACTAACCATCAATGAAATGAGACAAAGGTTTTGGGTGCCGCGTGCGCGCGCACTGCTTAAGTCAACGAAAAGGGAGTGTCCGGTGTGCGCCTACAACAAAGCTAAACCAGCGATTCCGCTTATGGGCCAGTTGCCAATAGATCGCTTAACGCCATATGTTCGTCCGTTTTCGTACGCCGGAGTTGACTATTGCGGTCCGTTTTGGGTAACAATTGGACGAAGACGAGAAAAGCGATGGGTTGCGTTGTTCACCTGCTTGACGACACGAGCGGTGCATTTAGAGGTCGCTGGTGAGCTTTCGACTGACGCGTTTATCCTGTGCCTGCGTAACTTTATAAACCGTCGAGGAGTCCCTGTCAGAATTAGAAGTGATAACGGGACCAACTTTGTGGGGGCCCAGAAAGAGCTGAAAAATGAACGTTTGTTTGACTTCAACCGCATAGATGGCGAAATGGCAAGACGCAAAATTCAGTGGGTATTCAATTGCCCTGCGAACCCATCAGCAGGCGGTTGCTGGGAGCGCCTCGTACAGTGCGTCAAGCGACTATTACAACGCGTTTTGCAGCAAGAGGCACCACGATTAGAAACGTTCAGAAGCACCCTTATAGAAGCCGAAAATATAATAAATAGCCGGCCGTTAACCGAATTGGCCATATCGCCGCAGGATGATGAGCCATTAACACCAAACCACTTCTTGACGGGATGTCTCAATTCAACTCAGACGCCTAGTCTAGATGAAGAAAGAGTGTGTCTCCGGAAGCAGTGGCGCGTAGCTCAAAATTTAAAGGACCGACTGTGGAAGAGGTGGACAGTCGAATACTTGCCGCAACTTCTTCGACGCTCTAAATGGCAAACTGAAGTCACACCACTGCAACCGGGACAATTGGTCATAGTGTGCGATTCCGCACGACCGAGAAGCCAGTGGGAGCGAGGTAGAATAACCGAGGTGTTCGTCGCTAAAGATGGCCAAGTTAGGAGCGCAGAAGTCAGTACCAGTTCCGGTAAGATACGTCGGCCAGCCAGCAAGCTAGCCGCTTTGAATTTTTGTGAGTCCCCCTAATGACTCACTGGTGGGTGGGATGTCGTTGCACAACACCGACCTCAAAGTGCAACCCTGTCGGTGGTCTGATATTTGACGAAGGATGGAAGGAGAGAAGGAGATCAAAAACCGGCACATACAAATAAGATCCCGTTCACTGTTTTTCACATTATTCCAAATTTTCGCCGAGAAAGCAGCGGGTGCAAAGGCACCAATTTGAAACGTGATTTTGTTAGGGCTCCTGCAAGCATAACTGAGCCAAAAGTGGTCAAAGTCTTCGTTTTTTTTTGGTCTTATCGTCATTGGCCATCAAGTGAACGTATTTTATCGTCATCGTCCATTGAATGTGCATATTTTCGTCGTT